AATAGCTTAAGAAAACTGCTTCGCACCTAAAGATGGAATTTGAGATGAAGGATCTTAGGAAAACTCGTTTATGCCTTAACCTGAAGTTCAAGCATTGTTCTGACAATATTTTGGTTTACTAGTCGAACTATACCCCGTAAGTGTTTTCTTTTGAGTATATACGTGGTCATCCATATATTATATGCAAATGAAACCCTGAAGAGGTTATGGAACCCAAAATTTCATATATGAGATCAATTTTGTGCTTTGTTGTACTTAGCTCAATGCATTAGACAAGACATCTCCTTCATTGTTGATCTATTGGTAAAGATGTAGCATTGTGCCTAAACGTAGCCACTGAATTGGCATTAAAGATGTTCTCCCATTACCCTAAGGGTACTACAGATTTGAGCTTATCCCTACGCATCCCTAATGGATCCACCCCCTAACCTTCGGAAAGATGCTTGCCGTATTTGTTATGCTGATGTAACTTACTTGCCAGACCTGTGCAAGGCATGTTCCCAAATGGGTATGTCTTTACTATTGAGGATATTGCGATATCTTGGAGGTGCACGATATAAACCTTAATTACGAAATCTTCGAATCGTTCTAAGACTCACAACACTTCATTACACCGCACGTGAGACATGGTTGAGAGCTCTTGTTCATATTTGAAGTACTTGTGGTTGTGTTCATCCATCGTTGAGTCCAACGACGATCCATGAAGACTATGTCGCATGTATCGACCAGGCCAATACATGACACATCAACGAAGTCAACTCTAATCATATTATGTTTACATCATATTAGCAAAGCATCAGGAGATTGAAGTTCAACATTCCGATCTCAGACAACCTTGCTGACCTTTTTACGATGTTACTGTCGAAGTATACCTTCCAGAAACTTGTTCGAGGAATTTGTATGCGTAACTGCTTATAGTTCTCAGTTAGAAGTTTTGTCAAACTCAGGGAGAGTATCCAAAAACATACTCACTTGATCTTAATGTACTATTTTTTCCTACAATCAGGAGCATCTTTCCCACTGGTTTTTTTTTGCTACCTAACTAGGTTTTAACAAGACACCCATTATAGGTTGATCATACATTTGTGAGTTTTCCTACTTTCGTCCAGAAGGTGTATAGTTTTGATTTAATGCAGAATCTCACATTTCTCCTTAGACTATGAGTTTTCTCCCATATTGGGTCTTACCATGGCAAAGTTTCGTTAGTTTTACCTTTTTTTGCTTTCTTCCATTGATTTGAGACTTACATTCACTCATTGTACCGACAACACCATCAGCTAAACCTACTTCATCGTTGAAGACTTGTCCATTTACTTGAGTATTTGCACACTCAAAGGGAGTGTTGGAGTCCTAATTAGGTTAGCAATAGCAAAATGAAATTCATAGGATATTTATACAAGTAATTCAAAGGAAAATTAGAAATCTTTGATAGAATCTGTTTCGGAAACATATAATGTAAGGAAAAAAAATATATGATTATGTAAATCCTAGTATATTATATTGGGATTCTACCATATATCTTCTATAGTTTCCTGATTGTTTTGTAATATATAAAGGGTAAGAAATTTACCTTCCTTACTATTATAAATAAAGACACAATGGGGTAACAAAACACATCTTAGAATTCAACCAATTCTCTCTACAGTTCGCCACACCCCTATCTATAACTCTTTAGTTAAATAGGCCTACAATAATAAATACTATTTTCAAGTGTTAGAAACGCCTCTTTTTTTTTTTTATTAATTTGAGTATTTTTTTAACAAATATTAATTTGAGTATTTAGTTTGTTGTTTTAAAATTCAATCACAACCATTTTTCCTTTGTTATGGCAAGAAAAGAAAGTTCAATGATGTCTTGGTGAAATTTTTTTTTTAAGGCAAATATATTTTTGTACTATATTATCGTATTATATAATGTGATAAATAATTAAATAGCTATTATTTAATAAGATAAACTTGTTTATTAATATGACATAGCGCCTTACTTATCATATTAAATAATACATTAGTATATGACCCAAAAAAATAAAAAACATTAGTATAGTACAAAATATACAATCTTTCTAATATTTACCTAATAAAAATATCTTCTTTTGGATATCCAACTATTTCTTTTGGTCAATGAGCATCCAACTATAGATTCCACTTGTTCTTAAAAATCAGATTATTAAAACCAATTCCATCAGTGTATACATGTCCAATTTTTGTTAATTAGCCACCCATGCTTTTATTATTGGGAACTTTAACGAAAAGTTTCCAGTACTGTTTAGTTTAACGAAAAATTACATTTTTACACTAAAAAGTCAATCATGATACTATTCGTTTTACCATTTATTTTGTCCTTATCGTTAAAACTCAAAGTTTCAAGCCATTTTCATTAGTTTTCTTTTTATTTAATTCATTGACCTACCCCCCCGGGGGCGATAACTTAAGCTGAATCTTGCCAAGAAGCCAAGATAATATTTTAGACGACCTATTAATCTTGATTTGATGCATGTAAATACGCACCAACTTATGATTGCGTGCACTAAGAACAATTCAAACAGAATGGAGAGAAGAGGAGGGGACTAAATCTACACCGCTAAGGATTTTTGTGATGAGCATGCAAACATAAGTCAGGTAATGTAATATTCAGCATTATAATAATTATGAATATTTTAGATAAATTAATAAAAATAAAATTTACATGTTATAGTTTAGATAATGCTATGTGTTTGGATCAAAACTTGAACTTTGGGCTTAAGAAATGAGCTGGCCCAAAAGGAGGCCCGAAATGGGAGACAGCCGAAGCCCAGTCAAAGCCCAGAAGGCAGAAATGGCCTTTTCTGACTTGGTGCAGCTCATGAAGACCACTTGCTTACCTACCCAAGGGCCAAGTGGTATAGACTGATCAGCTACACAACCCATAAAGTACTTTATGATGGCAGTACATGTAAAAAAGCTGATGAGTCATCACCCTCAAACCGCATTCGGGCAAGGCTGCTGCTACAGGAGGCCAAGCCGAGTTGTCTATATAAGAAGAAAGAGAAACCAGGAATAAAGACACTCAATCAAACAAACAAATGCAAGCACAAACTCTGCTCAAAGCCAGATTTGCCTTCAAAACAAAGTTGTAGTCAGCCTTCATCCCTCTCGGGACAAGCCTTCATCCCTCGCGGGATAACCCTCCCTTCAAACCTTTGTAATAGCTCTACTACCTTGTTCAACCCTGCTGTAGTATCGATTCATCTTTTGTAATCCCTCTCTCTATCCCTCTAAGCTTTCAGACCCTTGACAAAACTACAAAGATAGGAACCAACAAGACGAGCAACCTTACCTGATAAGGTTTAACCTTGCCCGACCTTCTTTGCTTTGTTTTTGTCTTTTCAATATGTTGTATACTTCCAGTTATATGCAAGTTATTTCTAGCAATATGACTATTAAAAGGCTTTCTCAGTACTTGAATCCGATTTGAATATATCTTCAGTGTTCAAACCAGATCCAAGTCCTAAGCCCTCGGGCATGTATATCTGATTAGTTAAAAGTCCTTGGCCTCAAGGCATAAAAAAGAACCTTATGTGGACTTAACCCATCCACGACAGTCCTTGATAAACGAGAAGTCCGAAGTTACTTGGGGCGCAAGTAATCGACCTACCCTCTAGTTTTATTTCTATTATATTATGATTACCATAGAACGCTTGAGCATGGAATGGATTCTGATGGAAAGCCTCAAGGCCTACACCTAAGGCCCCACAAAGGCACCTCTCAAAGTTAACTCTGTCCTTCTCTTTCAGCCTTGCCCGACGAGCCTTGCCCGAAGAGTCTTGCCCGACAAGACTTGCCCGACGAGACTTGCCCGACAACGCCCGACAGTGAAGCAGAAGCCCGACAGCAGCCCTCAACCGGCGCCAACCTCCAGGAGAGCTGTGTGCTCGTCGGCCAGGAAACATCCCCGACGGAAATTCCTGACGCAAACACAATGTACATATCTATTTATGTGTTAAAAAAAATGCTATTTACAAATCTATTTTTACTTTGAATATATACCTTTCAATCTTCAACCATCAAATTTAATAAAATTGAATAGAATAAAAAAATATAAACTAATAAAAGGTGTGTGGAAGATAACAAAATGTGTTTAAATAACACCATTCATAATTTAAATGAAATAAATCTATGTGTTATAGTTTAAATAGAAGAATTTTTTTTTTTTTCTGAGAAATAGAAGAATAATTGAACGTGCTACAGATACATATAAGGGTGCGAATTACCCGCCAAGACACGAAACCACCAAGCCTCAACCATGATTTAAGCCACGTGTCTTCGTGGATTAGGGTACGGTCTGAACTGTACAGACTTCCCTCCCTGTCTTTTTTGCCTTGCCACTTGTCTTACTTCGTCTCTATCCATTTGACACAACAGAGCCACAGTATTCCCTTTTCCTTCCTTTCTGTCTAACAGTTTTTTCAATGTTAAAATTTTTTTTTTTTTAAATATTCAATTCAATTTCTTTTGGGGGTCATTCAATCTTAGTCCTGTAGTCATATATATTTGTGTTGTGGAGTCTAACAGTTTTTTCAATGTTAAAATATATATATTTTTAAAATATTCAATTCAATTTCTTTTGGGGGCCCTTCAATCTTAGTCCTGTTGTATATAACAGAGATTTTTAGTGTGCTCGAAGTACAGAAAATATGATCTTTTCTGGATTCTCTTTGTGGAGATTCAAAGAATTAATTAATCGTGTTTGTTTATCGTAAATCGTATAATTAATTTTTATCAGATACTATTTATATTCAATTTAAATTTTAAAATTTAAAATGATTTCTAATCGTTTAATATACAATTAATTGATTTTTAGATCTCTAGATAGAGGATCCGGAAAGGATCCTTATCCAAAATGTAGGCATATAAGTATGTATTATTATATAATTGAAGAGATATATAAAATAAATAAATAAACTTATATAATAATATATGACCTACCATTTTGGTGTAATGGCAAATCGAAAATCTCATCTATATATATTGGCTGTTTCCATCTTACTAGGTATTCTGCAATCCCTCCATATTTATTACTCACTTTTGGCAAACTATTAACCAAAAGCTAAATACCAGTAAAATTTTGTGGAGTTTGGAGATGGAAGAGAAGGTTTTGAGATCAAGATTCAAGAGGGTTTGTGTGTTCTGTGGCAGCAGTACTGGGAAGAGGAACTGCTACAAAGATGCTGCCATTGAACTAGCTGAAGAGATTGTACTTTTCTTCTTCATTTTCCCTCCAAACTCCAAAATTTTTAATTTTATCATTTGGATTGCTCTATTTTCCATTTTAATCACTTGTGTTTGGTTTGTTTTTCAATTTCATTAATTGGGTCGGCCTATTTTTTGGTTCTGAATTTTTTTTTTTTGAAGGTTTCAAGGAAGCTCGACCTTGTATATGGAGGAGGGAGCATTGGGCTGATGGGTCTGGTTTCCCAGGCTGTTTATCATGGTGGAGGGAATGTTCTTGGGTACAATCACATTTCTAGATTTTCACCTTTTCTTGGGTTTCTCAAATGTTTTCTATTTCTTCGAAATTTAATCATTTTTCCTTGTGCATTTGCCTAATTTATGATGTTTTTGGTTCACATTTGGACAGGATCATACCAAGAACTCTAATGTGTAAAGAGGTGCAAAATCTTATCTCTCTCATTCGGATTCTTTTCAATCTCCTTTTAGTTTGTGCAAAGTTTTTTCTTTTTTGCAGTAATGGTTCAAATTTTAATCTTTATATTTGGCTTCAAGTATGGCAAAAGCTCTCTAACTATGTATGCATGTTGGGTTTTTTGAGCCTCAGATTACAGGTGAAACAGTTGGAGAGGTAAGGCCAGTAGACGACATGCACCAAAGGAAGGCAGAAATGGCCCGCCATTCTGATTGCTTCATTGCCCTACCAGGTCCCCCATCTCTCTTTCTCTTACTAAGTTTGCCCTTTTATTTAATTAAGCGAATTGATCAATGGATTTTATTTTGCATTACTTTTGGTTCTATCAGGTGGCTATGGAACCTTGGAGGAGTTGCTAGAAGTGATCACTTGGGCACAGCTTGGAATCCATGACAAACCAGTAAGAACACACACCAGAGAGCTTTGGCCTTGAAAGTTTGATACTTTATTATTATTGTTAAATGTTAATTATTTGGTTTTGCTGCAAACAATTTTTTGCAGGTTGGTTTGCTGAATGTTGATGGATACTACAACTACCTCCTCACTTTTATTGACAAAGCCGTGGATGATGGCTTTATCAAGCCTTCCCAGCGCCACATCATAGTCTCTGCCCCCAGTGCCAAAGAGCTTGTCCAAAAACTTGAGGTCTCATAATTTTTTTTCCCATTTCATCAAACACTTTGCAGATTTTCAATCATTCTTTCCAAACCTCAAAAATGGGGGAAAAAATGAACTGGCCAGAAAGAATCTTGATGATGAAATTACCCTTTTGGTGTCTGATTGTGTTTTGGGGTGTTTTGGTAGGAGTATGTGCCAGTGCATGATGGAGCCATAGCCCAAGCAAGGTGGGAGGTTGAGCAGCACCACCACCAGAAGGTGGTGGTGGGGTTCAATGCAGGTGCCGCAGCTGTTGCTTTGCAGGCAGAGATAGCTTTGTAAAGGAGTTTTTAGACAAATGGAAAGGAAAGGATGAATGTTAGGGAAAAAGATGTTGCTTTTGGGTCTCTGATTTTGGTCATAAAATTATTAATTTAAGACCAGGCATACCATAATGGTATGACAAGGTTTGATTGACAAGGAGATAAAAAGGAAAAACTACAACGCTGACTGGTGACTGGTGACTGCTCTCCAAATCTTTTTGTTGTTTTAATTTAGTTTTAATGTCTTATTAGTTATTGATTAAGCTTTATTAATTAAGTTTATGGAATATTAATCTCTGTTTGTATTTTGTGATCCTCCGGAATTTATGTACAAAAATTATTATATAGAAAGAATAACATGCAAGATCGAAAAAAAATTGCAGCAGCAGCTGCCACCTTTCTTCTCTCTATTTTTTCATTACTCCCTAGTAATTTCTCTCTCTAATTTTTTTTTTCTCTCTGCAAATTTTAAGGTACTGTGATGAGTGAGGCTGCGATGATTTATACGTTTTTGCATCATTTTGGGGACCTTAAGTTGGATGTGGCCCACTTGTGTTTGAGACGTGTGGGTCCCTTTATGCCAACCTAGTGTTTTGTTGCGTCGGGTTGGGGTTTCATTGACCAGACTCTGTAGTACTCTGCTTTATATTTTTTGTTTGTCGTTTTGTTCTACTCTTTTTGAATTGACAATTTTCTTGTAAGTAATGTTTCTTACTAAAAAATTTGTGTCAGATTCTTAAAATTTTGTAATTATAGTTTGAACCGCTAACATGGTCAACTATTTTGTAAGATTATCTAAAAAATGAATTAAAACTAAAGTTATTAAGTGAATTAACAGTAGAAAATAGATAGGCGGTTTGTAGTGCTTTTATCATTTTTGTTCATCTGATCTATGTAATTCGATGATTAAATGACCTAAATTTTAATTGATTTTTTTACAAACATGATTTTTATAGAATGATTTATAATATAAATGGTTTCGATCACAAGCACAAAAGTCTATAAATCAAAAACAAAAAATTTTGAGTAGGAATTTTGCTCATCCTTTGAGTAGTCAAGTGTTATTCTTTTCTAGGCCCGGCCCAGGCCTAGTGCGGGTAGGGCGACCGTCCAGGGTCCAAAAAAATGGGGACACCAAAATTATTAATATGGTGTATTTATATATGTTTTTATAAAAGTATAAATTTATAAAATTTGGTTTATTGATAAAGAAATTTAACTAGAACTAGTGGTTTTGTTGTTTAAAATGAATGAGGAGGTCTTAGGTTCATAACACCATGTGTGCTTATTTACATTCCAATTTTTACAAATTTCTTTTCATAACAGTATAAATTTATAAAATTTGGCTACACGATCAAGAAGTTTAATTAGAAGTAATGGTTTTTGTTGTTTAAAATTAACTAGAGGTCTTAAGTTCGAAATGCTATGTGCATGTTTATTTTTTTCAATTTTTACAAATTTTTGTTTGGTTGTTAATTTATTTACTAGTTAGTAGCTATATGAGTTGCTATTTTTAAATATCTATTCCAATTCAAGTCTAATCTTTAGTAAAGAGTAATGCGTAGATTAAATTTTTAGACCAAATTTGCAAATAATATTACGTGTCATCAAAATGTTTAATTTAGTGTTCATTTATTACTTATACATATCTTTAAAGACTAAAAAACATTAATATTTTTTTAGTCTTATATTGACCAGGTTAGTAAATAAGAAAAAATAACTCACGATTTATGCAAAAACACTTTAAAAGTTCAGATGGAAAACAAAACTCATAATCTATCTACTTGTAAGCCGAAGCTTTTTAGTTTCCTTCGCTTGATACAAAATAAAATAATTATTCCGTGTCTAAATTATTGAGTTTGAAGTGTTTTTCTAAATATAATTTTATCGATTTCTTACGTGTGAAAACAAATATTTTTTTATATGAAATGAGGGTACATTTTTTTACGTCGCCCTGGGCCTCAAAAATCTCTGGACCGGCCCTGTTCTTTTCTTATTTCATGTGTACTTATATGAAATGAGTATTTAAAGTAGCATGGTTCTCATTTATTTTAACTTTACTAAAAGAGTATCGAAGTTAATTAAATTCTTACATTATTATTAGTGTTTACTTAAGACATGAAATCTTAAACACGTAAAAATACATATTAAAATTTATATTTCAATTCTTAGAAAATAAGGAATCCAATTAATCGTAAAAATTAATTGATTCATTCTTGTGTATCTTATCCTTACATGTGTAAATCCTTTTTTTCGTATCAATAAATATCGTACCGTTTTCAATAAAATAAATATATCAATAGAGTTATTCAACTAATAAAAAAGAAAAAGAGAAACATTTTCAAAAACTTTGCCTTTTTCTTTTTGGTCAATTATTTGGAAAAAGACAAAAGCTGGTAAAAAATTTGGAACAGGTTGGTAACATACTTTTTATATTTTATTTAATTCATCTACTTTACCTAAATCACATTGTTTTTATTCTGAACTTTGCAACATCCCAAGATAGAAAAGGTGATCAATTCTGTGACGTCCTTGATGGTTGATAGGTGATGTAAGTGATGCTATTGCCACTAGATTTGTTGGCTGCCTGATCCCACTTGCCTCTCAGCAAATTTCAAATGTTGTTTTATTATATATTTTCCTTAATATTATCTCACTCGTGTTATTTTGTTGCAATAATCATATAAAGGAAAAAGATACCTTATACATTTGTCCTAATCAAGCATTTGGAAATAGCTTAAGTGGCCAATTGAATGTAGTAATGTGTTACGATTGCTTTAAAGTTTGTTTCTTTTTAAAATGGCATTTTAGCCAAAATGACTCTTGAGATTGACATAATTTTTCAATGTGGTCTCTGAAATTTAAAATCGATAGAACTAGTCATTGAGTTTGTCGACCATAAATCATTTTGATCATTTCGTGAAAACATCTTTTAAATAATGACCAAAAGGACAAAATAATCTCAATTTAATAAACAATGAGCCAAAATAATTTGATAAAAAAATGAGGTATTTTTGTCATTCTTTATCTGTATTTAATGGAGATTTGTTCACAAAATGATTAAAATGATTAATTGTAGACAAATAGGGACAAATTCTATTGATTTCAAATTTCAGGCTCCAAATTGAGGAGTTATGCCAATCTCAAAAAATATTTTGACTAAAAAAACCTTTTAAAATAACAAATAAATGACTATCAGAATTAATTCTTGAGGTTCTATTTTCTTACTATGTAGCGTTAAATAGTATGAGTATTAGATGACCTGGATTAGCAAGACCTCAATAAAAGTAATAATCAAACCAATCCCTAATACTCATCACATTTAATGCTATGTAGCATGGAAGAATTTTCCCAATTCTTGTATTAAACAAAAAATCACCACCAATTCATAGATTACCATCATTTATCTTTTAGGTTTAGAATATGGTTCTTTGCACATTTACTAATCTGTAATCAGATTGAGAAGAATTGAATTGAAAAAGACTTGGATTGAGGAGGGATTGAAATAAGGTGGAATCAGAATCAGATTCCTGTTGAAGTTGTTTACTAAAACTATCTGGAATTGAAGTAAGGATGATGTTGGGTCCATGTAAGTTGTTTACTAATTCACTTCAATCGGAATTAAAACTAGGTTGATTATTAAATTGCCCTTACATAAATAAATTATTTTCATACTAATTAATTAAATTAAATTTATATAATAAAATTTATCTATATAAAAATATATAAATAGGTTTTATATTATTTATTAAAGGATGGTTATTTCCATCCATCCCCTCTCCATCTTTCCCACGCCTCCCCAGAAGGTTCAGTTGCATTGCCCTCCACCCACTTCTGCCTTTCCTTGCCCTGTCTCTATCTTCCACCCTCTTACGCCTGCATAGCCATTGCCCCATAGCTAGGCCATTCATGGTCCAGCGCGGAGCGGTCTCGTCGCTGTCTCGATTCCAATCCACTACATCGGTGAAGAGTGCAACAGTTGGATTCAGGTAAGAGCCTAGCGATTTGGTGAAACAAATGGAGATTAGGCTAGGTATGTAATGCGGCCCCGCACGGCGAAGGGTGTGGTGTTGACAAAAATGGAGAATGAGCAGTGCTGTATGAGTGTTAAATGAAGTGCCATGTTGGGATAATCAGAAACAAGTGAGGGCATAGTTGGTAGAAAAAATCCATTCTGGATTCCTCACGTGTCCAGGAATTGAAATACCTCTCTCATGTAGGTAGTCCAATTCCTCCAAAATAAGGAAAGGGATTCCCAAATTGATGTGGAGCCCACATGTATTTTGGTTCTCCAAGATTACGTAAACAAAGGTGTATCCCACAATCGAAATCCAATTCTGTAAATTGATTTTGATTATGGGTACGTAAACGTGCCCTTAGTGTTGTTTTCACTAAGCAAATGACTTGAATTTAATAATTATTCAGCACTCGAAAGAAAATGCATATATTGGATTGGATATACACAAACTCATGTGTTCGTCAATTTTTGCGAATCTCATGTAACATTATGTCATAATAAAAAATAAAAAAACCGATTCTCAAGCGAGACAAATACTATTATAATTACTATAATAAAAGGCAACCCAGAGCACTAATTTTGAGAGGAACACATTGGTTTGATCCGAAATAGATATATGCTCATCTACAAGTATGGCAAGCCAAATTCGGTGTATAAGATGCAGTAATTAAACGGTTTAAAACTGCAACACAAATTCAATCGTAAAATACATCAATGCACACCCATACATTAATCCATTTTCACAATTTGCACATCCAGAAATCACACTCGTCCCATATGAAGCTCCTCTCAATTCTTAAGTCCTCATTTATCATAATAATCAACAGAACTGCAACATATAATCTGAAGCATAAAGAACTTGTTTTCCAGATTCTTCATTTGCAAAACTACTTGCTTATGTCTCTTCTATTTTGGCATTGATGAGTCCATATTTTATTATATATTTTACCCTAATCTTAGTATTAATTTATTGGTTATTTTGGTAAAATTTTCATACTTTGTTATATATTTTTAATGTAGGACATTCGACTTCCTCTAGAGCAAAAAGTGATCAAACGGATGAATTTTGGAGTGAATCCAATTGAAGGATGTTCGGGTGTCTTTCAAGATGATTGTTCAAAATTCTAGATTTTTTTACCAAGCCGTTTGACCGTGACGATGAAATTAAGGTCCAGCGGGCAGCTTTCCCTGATTGATATTTCTGAACGTTTTGAGTATTTTGGAGGTCAAGATGATATATTTTGACTAAGATTCCTTCTGTGGATTTGTAGGGGACATCTTCAGCTTTTAAAAGAGACCTTTTGGGACCAAATCGGAGTTGATTTGGTCAGTCAAAAGTTTAATTTTCTGATAACTCCGAATTTTAGTTTAAATAGAAAACCTTTTATTTTA